GTGGCGGCTCTCAGAGCGGGGCCAGGGCCTGAGGAGCATGGCTCGCAGGAACCCCATAAACAACCTGGGATTGCTCTACGTAGCTGTCTACATTTGTAGCCCAGGGTCTCTGGGTGGCATTGAGGGTCATCGTGGTCTGTGTCTGCCTCTTGGCCTGCCACTCTCATTTGTGGTATTTTACCTGGAATTAAGTGCTGCTCCCTGAACGCGTGCGCTGCTTTGTCTTTGGAAACTGTGTCCTTTCCATCATGCTCCATTGCTCGAGGGATCATGTCTCACCACCTCCAAGAATCATTTCCGAGGCCACTGAGGACAGTGCTCGCCATGTGGTGCCTGAATCAGTGGGAAAACTTATCGCATGGTGACCTGGGAAGCTCTTGAGAATGGAATGTAGCTGAATGGGCTGTGGTTCCACATTGCATGAGGCCACGGAGAATTGAGGAAGGATGTGCATTTGGGGCAGCCTTCAGTGGGGAGTGTCTTAGCGTCTGTTCCCAACCAATGAGGGTTGAGGGCTGCCTCCCATCATATTGAGCCGTCTACACTTCTGGGCTCAGCTAGGACACCAAAGGGGGCCCTGTGGAGCAGCAGGATTGGGGGATGCCCCCAGGGTTTCCAAGTCTAGGGGTTTCTTAGGCTTTAATCTGATCAGTCCTCCCTGTGTCTGTCACCCAGTCAGGTTTTTGTCACCTATCTGCCACTCAGGAAAGGGTGGAGGGCCCCTCCCAGGGTGGTATAAAATCCTTTTAAGGGTAGTTTCCTCTTGGGGGTGGGGGTTTGTCTCTTTCTCGCCTGCCTTTCTCCCAGCTGTCCTTTATCCCTGTGAGTGAAGGGCTTAGCATTTAGAGATACAACGGTTGCCTGGTCTGACTTCCCAGGAGTGCAGTCTTCCCCACAGCATCATGAACAGTAGCTGAAGCTTCCTTGAAAACCATCCTTGGAAATGCATCACTAAAAACCACCCTTCCCTCGTTGGACAGCTCTGACTGCTGGAAATTTCTAGCTGAAGTCTATTGCTGGCTTGTACCCAGGGGTTCCAGCTGGGCATTTTTGAGCACAGCAGAATGCGTCTGTCACCTAGGCTAGGCCCCTTTTCTGCTCTAGGCCTATGCTAGGCTTGTAAAATATCACGGAGACATGGACACCTCCCCTCCAGGAGATCACAGCACGGTGAGGCCTCTGAAAATTGCAAAGCAGTGTGGGAAGTCCAGCCATCAACAACGGTGATATGGTGGTGTATGCGTGTGTGTAAATGTGCGTGCCTTTTAGTTTGTCATTTGGACAGGCAGGGTGTGTGGAAGTGAGGGTGTTGTGTGTTACCTGTGTGCAGGGTCCAGAGACTGAACACCCTGGGTATTTGGTCAGCTTGTCATCCAGTGTGGTTCTAGCCCAAAGGGGTGAGCAGATAAGTACTGGTGGGCGTGTGTTGGAGTCATGGCCTTGAGAGCTCGGGGTCATGAGAAAGGATTTAGAGCAAATCCCGGAGGGCTTTATCTAGCACTTTTTCCTAATGGAGGTGGGAGGGAGCTGTTGAAGGGTTTTAAACATGGCAGGGACAGGGGCAAATTTGAATTTTGAAAGGATTCACTGTAGGGTCAGGATGGAGAATGGTTTGGAGAGTGTGTTGGTCAAGGCACCATCTACAGACGTGTTTGAGGATGAGGATGGCTGTTCTTTTGGGTAACGAGGTGTCTGAGGACCAGTGGTTCCTGGGTGGGCTCAGTGGCACAGCTGCCATGAGGGTCCTAGGGTCCATCCTTCCCTTCAAGAGCCTCAAGGCATTGACTCATCTTTTGCTTGATGTCTTATAGTTTCTTACAGTTATTTGTCTCAGTGCTGGGCAGCGGACATGGTAACGTCCAGTTGAAGAAGAGGGGTGTTTCTTTCTTCTTAGGGAGGAAAACTAGCTTCCAGAAGGCCCCTGGCAGCCTACAGCCAGGCCCCCAGCTGCCGGGGGGCTGGGCTTGGGGCAGCGTTCTCTGCCCCTACAGCGGGAGGAGCACCACCCTTGAGGCATGGGCACCGGGAGTGGGTCTTGTGGCCGAGGCGAGAGCGCTGAAGGGGAGGAGGTGAGAGTCTTACCCAGTTTTTCCTCTTCTCCACCCCAGGCCAAACCAGGCTCTTCCAGACCCTAACTTATGATGCCTGAAGCAGAGTCAAGATCCAGTTAATCCAGGGCACGGCCATGAGGTCCCTTCTGATTATGCAGGCTAACGCTGTGTGTATGCTTTTGGTTTTTTAGATGATTCATGTTGTTAACCGGGTTCAGCTTATGGCAAGCTCAAATTCTCAGGGTGGTTTTTGTTTTTGTTTCTTGTTTTGTTTATTATATGAATATATCTATTCCTGCTGTGTCGCCCACAGATTGAATTGTATCCCTGGGTAAGTTCTTTTATAAAGTGGAGTGTCATTTTAAAAGCACAAGAATCCCTTGATGTGTCGTTTCTACCTTCTCGAAGCATCCACTATATTCTCCTGTAGTTGCTTATGCGTGCGTATCGCCGAATAGGTAGGCCCCATAAGGAACTTCTGTGACGCAGGCAGTTTGTAGACTTTTTGAAATGTTTTTAATGTAGCCACTGCAAAATGATATTAAGATTCCTGTTAGGCATGGTGCAAATCAAACCTCACAGAACGTGAGCACTGGGATGACTTTGCAGGATGCTCATTTTGCCCTGTGCTTTAGCTCTGCAGGAGTTGTCATGTTCTTCAGCGGATGAACCTATGTGACAGTCCTTGACTTTCCCCTTTGGCCTTGGAGAGATGTAGGAGTGATGCACGGCCTGTCTGATTCATGCTGTCATCTGCTAACTTTTCTATTCAGTTCAGTGTTACCGTGTTCAGCGCTCACACTAATTGCGTGACTAAGGACCCCTTCCAGTCAATTAAGTTCCCTAGGACTGTTTCCACCAGGCCTACACATGTTCCAGGCACCTGGGTTATGGGGACAGGGAGCAAAAGACTTCATCTGTAGAGCACAGAACATTAGTGTTTGTTTTGGTCCATCTGTCCCGCTAGCCGCGAGTTTTCCTAGCCTCATCTTGAGAGCCTTCCTCCTGCCAGCTCCCACCTTCCTCCCCGAGAACTTGTGCTTACCGAGTTGTCCCAGGCAGTCCCCCTTAGGTTTCTCCGGTCTCTTCCAGCTTGTGCCTTATTCCTGCATGGTGCCAACTTCTCCTACGTGACGCCCCCGCCCAAAGTACTGTCTGAACCCCCACTGTCCATCCGCCCGTGGGCCTGTCCTGCAACCACACACCCACCCCGCACTCATCTCAGCTAATGGGCTGTCGGGAGCTGCTCCTTCTACTTGTCACAACGTTCTGGGCGGTGATTCTTGGGCAGGTTATTTCAGGTTTGTGGTTGTGATTCTAAGACCGAAAACGCCTTTCTCCTTCCTTCCCTGCATTTCCTTAGGAATCTGGAACAGCCTGCAGGTGAGAGCTCGCTCGCCCTTTTATGCCTCACTTTGGCATCCAAGTGTTTCTTACCCTCAGGCTCCTGCCAGGTCTAGCTGTTTGAGGTTAGCTGTTGTTCCTTCTGTGGCTGACACATCCATTCTTTGGTGTGTTGAAATGTCTTTTGAACCTATTCAGTTCCTCCTCCCCAGTGGTGGCCGGTGTTTGAAGCACAGATGTAGTGGAGTCCTTCCATCAACACACATGCTTCGGTGGCTCCCCACTGCCTTCCACAGTGGTGGAGGAGGGCTCTGGGTCAGGTGCGCCTCAGACATGGTTTGCTTGGCCCTGCCATTGTTTTAAGATTTTTTTTAGATTAGAGTCAACCTCAAAAAATCAGAAGATGTCATGTAAAAAAAAATCTGGATTTCTCGCCCCCCCCCTTTTTTTTTAAGATTTTATTTATTCATGAGAGACACAGAGAGAGGCAGAGACACAGGCAGAGGGAGAAGCAGGCTCCCTGCAGGGAACCCGACGTGGGACTCGATCCCAGGATCCCAGGATCACGCCCTGAGCCAAAAACAGACACTCAACTACTGAGCCACCCCGGTGCCCTTCTCATCTCCCTTTGAACAATCAAGAGACCTGGTGCTTTTGTCCTGGTGCTGGGGCCTGTGCTCTGTCACCAGAGCCCTGCTTGGAGGCTTCACTCACCCAAGCTACTAGGCTGCCATCCATGAGCACTAGAGTCTCCTCCCCTGTACTCCGTGGTGGAGGCTCTCCCAGACCCTCATGGGCTTTCCGTGGGCCTCCAGTGGTTTTATTTCCACCTCCATGCGTCTCCACGAAGCTGTAGCCACACAGCATGCAGAGCTAATGGTTGACTCCTTGTCTTTGCTCTCTTTTCTTACAGTGGGGTGCTGCCATTTTCATCACAGCCACCTCTTTGCGCCATACTCCTTTTGCCCCACTGTTCTCCCCCGCCCCCAAACATCACTTCACAAACACCTGTGTTTACAGCCAACAGAAGGGTTGTCTCCCCAGAAGGCCTTTTCTGACCTCTCGAGTTGTTTCTACCATTGCTTCTCATTTCACTTGGTGCACAGCTGACCGTCCTTGCCGACACCTCTTTGCACCCCTGTTTCTCCTCCCAGACTGCAGGGCTTTGGAGGGCACGGTCCCTGTCTGTGCCTTATCCATCTTTATATCCACTGTAGAAGGTAGCTTGTAACTGTAGCTTGAATGATTTCTTCCTAGGCTGTAAATCTTGGAGACCATATCTTCTTTAATAACTCTGAAGTCTGGTAGGCTTTGTGAAAACAAGCTGAAGGGTTATGCTGACCTTATCAACACTGTGTCCCTAGTGCCTTGATGGTGGCCCCGTGGCAGCGGTGCAGGGAGTATTTACTGAATCACATGAGAGCCTGGAGAACCAAAGACAATGCCCGAAATGAGAGAGAGGCCCGCGCGGCAGTGAGGACCGGCGTGTAGATATCACACATATATAGTTCTTTTACCATCCCATAAAAAGGTTATGGGCACTCTCTAATTCTATCACTGATATAAAAGGATATTTTATACATCTCGGTATTATTTGCTTTTCAGGTGACGAATCTGACCTTGAACTGGAAAGGAAGTATAAGGAAGATGACCGAGAAAAGACCCCAAGAAGGCCGAGGACGCAGAGGACAGAGAAAGTCCAGAAGATCCCCTCGGGAAAGGAGGCCGGGCAGATTTCCGGAGTGAAGAAACCCATCATAAGTGTGGTTTTAACGGCCCACGAAGCTATTCCAGGTGACCACAACAGGGAGGAAGGGGCAAAACAAGAAGCTTTTGGCGAGTCTGTGCTGGGCAGCCTGACAGCTTGGACCCTGTGGTCCTGGGCAGCTGGCTCACTGATGGGTTCTTCCTTTATTACCCGCCCCTGCAGGGTCGTTGTGGATAGCGTCAGAGGAGAGATAGTGGGGGTGCTGCTGTTGCTGCCATAGGCCCGATCAGAAGAGCGGCGGCCAGGGAGCATGCTTTGTTCCTTTGTTCCTGTGGCCCGGCCCCCACCCAGGGGTGCCCTCCCCTCACTGCACTCAGCAGGGTGGTCCCTGGGAGAGACAGACCCGCTCAGACCAGACAGATGCACCTGCTCCCCAGAACCTGCAGTCTCCTGGTCCCTCTGCCCAGCTTCTGTCTTGCATTTTTAGTGGGCTCATCACGTATTTTATAATATCAGAGATTTCTGTCTCCCTTTCCTTTCACATAAAATAGAGATACTATAACTACCTTTTTTATAAAAGGTCTTTCAGGAAGGGATACTTTAGACAAAAAGCAGTTTATGATAGTAAGTTCCAAAGTATTATAATGGTTCTTTTTTTCCCCTCTCCACTTGGGGTGATAGTTGTCCAATAATATTTAAAAATCAAGGGTGGGATTTTAAGAGCAGCTACAGCCTGTTAAGCATCTCTTTCCAATGGTAATAGTAGTCACTCTTTATTTAAAGTGGAAATGCTGGGTAAGTGCCTCTTTATACCTCAGCACAGAATAGGATGATTGGTAGGAAATAAGGCACATAAAAATATGTGGCTGGAAGAACTTTCTGGAAAGTCACATTGTCTGCACCAGCCGACTTCAGAGCAGTATCGATCAGGGGAATGATTAACCTTGGAGAGGGAGCAGCTCTTGTTCTCTGCCATCTCTAGTGGTTCCCACGGTAACTTCTTTATTTTTTTTATTTTGTTGTTGTTGTTTTTTTTAAAGATTTTATTTATTTATGCCTAAGAGACATATAGAGAGGCAGAGACATAGGCAGAGGGAGAAGCAGGCTTCCTACGGGTAGCCTGATGTGTGACTCGATTCCAAGACTCTGGGATCATAACCTGAGCTGAAGGCAGAGGCTCAACCGCTGAGCCACTCAGGCTTCCCCCACGGTAACTTCTTTAAAATTGATGGCAGTCCTTTGAGATTTCTGTAAGTGGGGGTAAAAGTGTTACTGATTTCCTTTCCTATTCTAGAAATGGGGTAGATGGGAGCCTGTTCTTTGATGTACTTGATACGTGCATGTGGGTGTGTGCCCATGTCTCTGCTATACAAGGTCTTTGGCCATTTGTATCCTAGACTTGCATAAGCAAAGGGACCTTTGAGTTTTTCCATTCCACACCCTTCATTTGCTAGGGTGGAAACAGGTCCACTGATGGTAAGGTCATGTCGTATGTGGGACTGGACCCCTGGCAGCTGGGGTTCCTGTTCATGGCTGATGGATGCCACTGCTCCATGTTATCTTGATGCAGTTTTTCCATTTACTCAAGTTTGGGCACAGGTAGTCCTGTATAGAACCTGGGAAGTAAACATAGGTGTATATATGTCCTGTCTTCTATGTTTTTATTAACAGATCCAGTGCAAATTGCTTCAGAAGGATGTTTTTTAAAATTTATTTATTTATTTGAGAGAGAGAGAGAGCAAGAGAGCACACGTGCATGCATACATGAGCAGGGAGGGGCAGAGGGAGAAGGAGAGAGAATCTTAAGCAGACTCCATGCTGACCATGGAGCCTGATGTGGGGCTCCATCTCATGACCTTGAGATCATGACCTAAGCTGAAATCAAAAGTGGGCTGCTCAACCAACTGAGCCACTCAGGTGGCCCAGAATGATATTTTGATAGGTTACTAGAAAACTTGCCCTTTCTTCCCTGCAAATACACGTACACACACAGACCTAGACACAGAAGTGAAATGTGTGAATTGTAGGAAAACCGATCTTGCAAGGGAGCCCTGCAGTGAAGAAACACACTTCCAGGGCACTGCTCCCATGTGGGTGAGGTGCCTCTAATGTGCGGTGACTTGTACCTTCATCTCAGGTGCCACCAAGATTGTTCCAGTGGAGGCCGGGCCCCCGGAGACAGGCGCTGCAAACCCTGAGACCACCACGGCCGACCTGGCGCCTCGCAGAGGGTACCAGGAGTATGCCATTCAGCAGACACCCTATGAGCAGCCCATGAAGTCCAGCAGGTAAAGTGTCTGTTCCATGTGACTTCAGCTGGAGCTGGACTCCAGTGATGGCCAGAGAGGGCCAGAGGGCCAGCCCGTTGGTTTATCAAGGACTCTGTTTGCAAACTGAGTTGTGGATGACGTTGGTTTCTTGACTCAACCTAAGAGTCAGACCCTCTGTTATACCTCCGTTATGGTTCTTAAGTGTTTACGAGCCCACATTGCTTCTCTGAAATGTGTGGCAGATCCACAGGTTTTTGGAACTGAGCACCAGTTGGCCTTAATGAAGATGGAGCATTTTACTCAAGGCAAACATACATTCAGCCTTAATAAAAAAGTATAAATAAGGCCTTAGTAAATTTGCTCACTTTTAAAGATACACATCTTATAATGAGAAAAAAATCTTTATCATTCCCCTACTTTTAAAAGTAATACAAGTATTTTGTAGAAAGTTCCAGCACTCCAGATGATGTAGGGTTAAAGTAACCCATAGTTCTTCCAGAGGTAGCTATTGTTGACAGTTGGGTCATACATCACCATAAGTTTTTCATGTTATACTAAACTACAGCACTTTAATTTTGTTATTTTTTTCTAATGTGAAACAGCAAATGCACCATTATCAACTTTGTTTTGAACTTAGCACACCTTGAAAATCTTCTTCTTCAGTACACATTATTTAAAAAGCATTTGCTATTGAATGGGTGCACTGTAGTTTATGTATCCATTGCTTTATGTCCATTGCTTGATGGACAATGCTGCCCTCAAGGTTCTGCTACTTTTGTCTTTCAGTACTTTTTCGTGACTTCCTGGGGATAAATTGCTAGAGTTGAAATTGCTGTCTCAAAGGCTATGAGAACTTAAAACTAAACAACATTGAAAACTGCCCTCCAAACACATTGGGTCAGTTGACAACCCAGAGTGAACGAGTCGGTACATTTTGCACACCCTTGCCAGGGTCTTCATCTCCACCTGCTCAGGTGGCATAGCAAACTGATCATCTGAGCTCTGCAGTTTCCTAGCTGGGAGGAAAGACAGTGAAAATGCCGAGTTACCACTGGGTTTCACCTGTTTCTGGAAGAGGGGAAATGAGCCATTCTTGAAGAAAGCAAAGCTTTTAGTGCCAAATAGACCTGGGTTGGCTCTAGACTCTTCTGCTAGGGTTCAGCTCAACAGATCAAATGTCCATTATGACGCAGGCATTGGGAAGGAGAGAGAACAGGATGGATATACCTGTTGTCTGGATGAAGCTTTTACTCCATTGTATTTGGCACAAGTGGGTTTGCCTCTCAGCTTCCATTTTGCCAGCCGTAAGATCGCCTCCAGTACAATCTGACTTTGTTTAGTGGTGAGAATAAATGACAAAATATATGAGCATGATGTCATGTGGGATGCTTCATTAATTTGTAGCCTCGGTCCTGTATCCTTACAGTTATGAGCAACTGAATTTATTGACGAGGTTGTAAAAATACTCATTCCTTTGGCAAAACTGTCGCGGAATTAAATTTGAAGATCATTCTGGTCTCAAGTTGATTTGTAGACTTTTACCTACCTGCACAGGATTTCGGGGTCTGCCGGGGAGTGGTTCAGCTAACTGGTCATCTAATTAATAGGCAAATGGACACATGTTTAAATAGCAGGTTTAGGCTGTATTCCATTTGTCATGTATTCTATTAATATTTATAGTACAAACTACAAAATAAGAAAGAGACTTTCTTTGCATGACGATTTTGTTTTGAAAAAAATACAGATACAGACTTCTAGGTTACATCAACATATCAGACAGATTCTCACACAAATATGACACAGACAGATTGCATAGAAAATTGGGAAGTCCAGAAAACTGGAAGGACAAGCATCATCTGTAAGATCACTACCGTGATATTATAACCTGTTAATTTTTTTTAAAAGATTTTATTTATTTATTCATGAGAGAATACACAAAGAGAAACAGAGAGACAGAGACACAGGCAGAGGGAGAAGCAGGCTCCATGCAGGGAGCCCGATGTGGGACTTGATCCCAGGACCCCAGGATTACACCCTGGGCCGAAGGCAACGCCAAACCGCTGAGCCATCTAGCCTGCCCATTGTTAATATTTTTAATGTATTTCCTTTCAGCCTCTTTTCAGCCCACATAGTTTATAAAATTGACTTTCTATTTTCTACTGCAATTTTGTATCTTGCTCTTAATACCTCATCTCATTGTACTTGATTTCCTCTGTTACTCAGATTATTCACAAATTATTCTGTAGTGACACGTTAGGTCGTGATGAGGATGCTCTGTAATCTGCTCAGTTCTTCACAGTGCAGCCAAGGAGATTTGGTAAAATGCCATCTGATTGCACCCTTCAATTCCTCACGGCTGGTAGAACTTGGCCTGCGGGGCCTTCTGGGGCTGCTGCTGCTCCAGCCATGTCTCCTCCTCTGCTCCCCATGGTGTCTGGGCTCCAGCAGGCGCTCTGACACTCTTTGTACTTCCTTGATCTGGTCTTGCAGGTGCCTCTTCCTCATTTTGGATGCCTCCCCTTTCCCTGGCTTGCTTAACTCCTGCTTATCCTCCAGCTAGCTGTCTGCTCAAGTGTCCAGTGCTCAGGACAGCCTGCCCTGCCCCCTAGACTGTCAGTCGGCCCTGATCTGGGCTCCTGGAGCATCCTGCCTTTCTCCATCACTGCAGGGAGCTGGTGGTCCTTACCTGCTCATTTCTCTGGTTGTAAGTCTGGCCCGTCCCTTCCTCCAGAAAGTGTGCTCCAAGAGAGCGCGAGATGTGTTTGCGTTTGTCCCCGTTGTGTCCTCAGGGCCTGGAGTACTTTTTTTGAATGAGTGAAAGAAGGGAAAAAAATAAATAAATGTGCCAACAAGCTAGTTCCTTATGTTGGGACCTTCCAGCAGCATTCCACGCTCACCTGTTGTGAAAAGTCCTGCAGGGAGCACCTTTGGTGCAGTTTTACATTCGTTCTTTCAGTAGATTCCCAGACGTGGAATAGCCAGATCAAGGGGTCTGACCTTTAAGAGCTCTGTGTGATCATGTTCTAAAACACAGCGGCAAGGGTGGCCCTCCTGCAGGGGAACACTTGGAATGAAATAACTGATCAGCAGTCATGTGGGCATTGCAGCTCTGAGTGTCCGTTCACAGTCCTAGCGAGCAAGGCTTGCGCTTGAGTCAGCTGTAGGCTGCTTAGCGTCTTCATCAGATTCATAACCCTTGACGGGAAGAGGACACTGAGGGCTTTATCAGGTATTTGTGTAAGAAAACAAAACAAAACAAAAAAATCAGAGCAAAAGATTCTCCTAAGACCATTTAGACCTTGCATTAGGGGAGAAAATACTGTGATTTGTTTATTTAATTAACGTTTTGAATCCAGGGTTTCTTTTCTCCAGTGTTCTTTACACCAATAAAATCTATCACCTTCTGGATTTCTTTGTCATTTGAGAAAGATCCAAATTAGTTTCCTGAAATTAGCCTTGGGTTTAGCATGCAGGCATAGTACTGACTTTCAGATTTGAATATTTTAATTACATTATGTGAATGGTACCCTCTGGTGTTTATGAACTACAGTCGATTTGAATATTTTTAATTTAAAGACAAGGCAACCTGTGTTGATCAAACATAGTTATATAGATAGTTTCCATAAATGTAGACTTTGCAATTACAGTGGATACAGCATAATGGTGTCTGATTAACAGCAGTAAATGCTTGTCAGTGTTTCTGAGGACCTTAGGGGACATTTGGGGACAACCTGGACATAGGTCCAGAGGGAGCGATTATGGAGGAGAGGAAGCATCACCTGCTTGTCCCGCTCATCCACCAATTCCGGTCCCTGCTGCCTGCTGTAGTACTTGGGTGACTGTCGTTCTCTGATTTCAGAAACAAGGTAGAGCTGTTGCAGTAGCACTGGGAGTCCCATGCAGGGGGCCTTCTCCATGTGTGGGGTCACACTGAGGAAGGGAGGCGTGGGTGTGATGTTTGCAGGCTCTAGAGGCTCAGTCCACTCACTAATTGTATGACCATGGGCAGGGACTCTGTTTTGTCATCTATACAATGGCTATAACAATAGGGTTGGGAGTAAGTATTTAGCATAGGGCTTGGCGTACCACATACTCAGTAATCACTAGCTGTTAAGACCATCACATACATGTTGCCATATTGAAAGAGAAGGATCCATGAAGCAGACCATGCTTTTATTCTCCATCACATACACAAAATCTGCCACAGTGCCTGAAATGCATTGGCAGGTATTCGTGAACAACAGTCACTAATACGTGACAGTTGAACAGCAGCTGTCTTTTCCCATGTGAGCGCTTGAACTAGCCATGGTGAAGGAGCAGGACAATGGAGACGGGAATGTCAGCTCTGTTACTGATGGAGTTGTGGGGGACATAGCGTGAGGCACATCAACACACAGCTTCCAGTTCCTAGGCCTTGACATTCCACCCCCCCCCCCATTCTTTGACTGCTGCTAGCCAGGCCCACGCATGCCCTCTCAGTTGAGCACTTGCTGCACCACCTGTGCCCATGGGCAGACCCTTCATTGCCAGAAGGGCAGACATGGAGCTTGGCTCATGACGGCCAGCAACCCAGTCAGGCCAGTGCACTTGCCCTGGGAGGACTCGGGGATGCGGGTCTTTTTAGTGGTGGCAACGGGTCCTCCCTGGCCGCAACAGCTGGTTGAATGAGCAGGCATGTGTGCATTGTTGCAGCTGTTGAACAAACCCAGGCAGGGGCACCTGGGTGGCTCAGCTGATTGAGTGTCTGACTTTAGCTCAGGTCATGATCCCAGGGTCCTGGGATTGAACCCTGCATGGCATCGGGCTCCCTGCTGAGGGGGGAGCCTGCTTCCCCATTTCCTCTGCTTGTGCATCTGTGCTCGCTCTCTCTCTCTCTCTCTCTCTCTGTCAAATAAATAAAATTGCAAAACAGAAAACAAAACAAAAACCCAGGCAGATTGTATAATCTGGTGGAGCTGATGGAGCTCATTCCGGGACAACCAGTTGTGTAGCCGGAATACATCCAGGTCGGCTTTGGGGCACAGCTGGTTGTCCTGTGCGGTGTGAATGACATATCCTCCGTCCTCTTTCTCCTCTTGCCTCCCTCTCCTTCTGTAAGCCTTGGGCTCAGACATCTCCTCTTCAGCAAGTCTCTCTTCTACCTCGGTCCTGGTTAGATATTTCTCTCTCTCCCTCTTTCTCCCTCTCCCCCCATCCTGTGTTCCTGTCACCACCGACCGTGCTGTCGTGCAAGTGTGTGCTGACCTGTCTCCTCCCCACACTGTCCAACACCGTGAGGCCTTGAGGAACAGGGTCCCATACTCGGCCCTGTGGTCCTGCTCAGTGCCATTTCGTTTACCATGAGCCTTTGGTGTCTGGTTCCTACGGAGGAACTGAAGGTCCTTGGGGAGGTGCTGTGCCTCCACCTGTAACAACGGTGCTGTTGTCTCTTTCTAGGCTAGGGCCCACTCAACTCAAGATCTTCACATGTGAGTACTGCAACAAGGTCTTCAAGTTCAAGCACTCGCTGCAGGCCCACCTGAGGATCCACACCAATGAGAAGCCCTACAAGTGCTCCCACTGCAGCTACGCCAGCGCCATCAAGGCCAACCTGAACGTGCACCTGCGCAAACACACCGGTGAGAAGTTCGCCTGCGACTACTGCTCTTTCACCTGCCTGAGCAAAGGGCATCTCAAAGTGCATGTTGAGCGCGTGCACAAGAAGATCAAGCAGCACTGCCGCTTCTGCAAGAAGAAGTACTCTGATGTCAAGAACCTCATCAAGCACATCCGAGATGCGCACGATCCCCAGGACCAGAAGGTCAAGGAGGCCTTGGACGAGCTTTGCCTGATGACCAGGGAGGGCAAGCGGCAGCTGCTTTACGACTGCCACATCTGCGAGCGCAAGTTCAAGAATGAGCTGGACCGCGACCGTCACATGCTGGTGCACGGGGACAAGTGGCCCTTTGCCTGCGAGCTCTGTGGCCACGGGGCCACCAAGTACCAGGCGCTGGAGCTACACGTCAGGAAGCACCCCTTCGTGTATGTCTGTGCCATATGCCTCAAGAAGTTTGTCAGTTCCATCAGGCTGCGCTCCCACATCCGCGAGGCCCATGGGGCTGCACAGGAGACTGGGCTCTTCACCAGCTCCATCAACCAGAGCTTCTGCCTCCTGGAGCCTGGCGGGGACATCCAGCAAGAAGCCTTGGGGGGCCAGCTGCAGCTGGCAGAGGAGGAGTTTGTGTGCCAGGGGGTGAATGCGCCCAAGGAGGCCGCCTGCCCTGCAGATGCCCAGCCTGAGGAGGGACAGAAGGAGCCTGAGGCCTCTATGGGAGAGCCTGCCCCACCTGTGCACGCAGCCACCCCCCATCCCCAAAGTGCTGCCCTGCCACCCTGTGAGTCAGAAGCCACTGTGGACTCCTCGGACCCGCATTCGTGTGCAGTGGTTTCCGATGGGTTTTTGTTAAAGAGTGATACCTCCTCCTCGGAGGCTCGCACTGCTCCCGAGGACACCTTGGATGCCCCGCACGGAGCCTCCTCCCAGACTCAGGGCGAAGAAGTCACACCACTGCAGCCTGAGGCCAGAAGCACAGAGGCAAACCAGGAGACTCAGGGTGCCGAGAGCCCGCCGGGGTCGGGGCAGGAAGGGGCTGCCCTCCCATCTGAGGGACCAGATCCTGGTAGGTGCCTCGGCTCAGACGCAGCTGAGGCCTCACACCCTGCGCTGGCAGCAGATGGAGGGGACGTGGCCCTGCCCCAGCCTGACTCGTGCACACCTGCCTCCGAGCACCGGGCCGGCATCAGCGCGTTCATGAAGATCCTGGACGGTTTACAGAAGAGACGGATGAACACTGGTCTGTGCGAGAGGATCCGGAAGGTGTACGGGGACCTGGAGTGTGAATACTGTGGTAAGGAGAGGCAGCGCTGGGCAAGCGGCTGGGTGAGCTCTGATCCCAGCAGCCCCACCCGTCCCCAGCTTGTTTTGGGTCCCCTGGTGTCTGATGGGAGCTCATGTCTGCAAAAAAACCACTTCTGAATGAGCTGTTCTTCATCATTTGTAGATAGCAACAGGTGGCCCCCTGCGTTAGAGGTTAGCACGTGGAGCCTCTGTGGAGACAGGCAGTTAGCCGCACTGACGTGGTCGGGCACACGCAGCACTTTATCCCAGGACCTCTGCCAGAACTGGAGCTAATGGGAATTGTTACGGGCACACGGCACATGTGAAGAATAGCATAACTTGTGGCCATGTGGTCAGCGCAGCTCTTGGTGGGGAGCCCTGCATAGAGCCCTCGCAGCGTGCAGGGCAAGCATGTGCGGCCTCTGCATCTCCTGGGTTGCTGGCAGCACTGGGAGCAGGACGCCCTGCGCTGGCCCCGGGGGCTCAGCAGAGCTTAGAGACTCTGACTTATGCATGTGCACAGTCATATTTGGCACTGTCATTGGTCCTCAGGAAATATTTGTTCCCTGCTCTCCCAGCTCTGACACCATGCAGACATAGCAGCGCCCTTCAGGTCTCCTCCCTCCCACCTTTGAAAGGTAATTTCCAGACAGAAATGAGGAAAGGGTGAAGGGTGACCTGGACAGGCCAGAGACAGTGCTACACATTATAGGGGGAAAAAATAACAAGAAAATCAAATTCGGTGTAAAAGAAACTTCCTTGTTCTCACGTGACGGTGTTGTTTTAGGCAAACTTTTTTGGTACCAGGTGCACTTTGACATGCACGTGCGCACGCACACGCGGGAGCACCTGCACCACTGTTCTCAGTGCCAGTACTCCTCCATCACCAAGAACTGCCTCAAGCGCCACGTTATTCAGAAGCACAGCAACATCTTGCTGAAGTGTCCCACCGACGGCTGCGACTACAACACTCCAGATAAATACAAGCTGCAGGCACATCTGAAAGCTCACACGGAGCTGGTAAGTAGCAAGCCCGAGCGGCTGCTCACCGCTTCTCACCTTTGCGCCCTTCGCTGCGTCCTGCTTCCTGGGAGCCTGTTTGTGCGAGCAGACATCCATCCCGGGGCGCACTCCTCCCTTCCCCAAAGCCTTTGCCCTGGGGTTCCTTTCGCAGGGAGAGACCCAAGTGTCGCAGAATGACTCGGTTGAAACAAATACACCTTCTGTGCAAGTTTTTCCAGCGTCAGAGAGAAACTTGGAGGATCTGCAGAGTAGAAAGCAAGCAAGGATTTCTTAGAGGGCATTACAACGAGGTATTAGTAAGAGAGGTACTTGTGATAAGAGCTGCCACTCACGGTGTGGGGGTTAGATTCCATAGTGCCTGTCAAAGCAGTAGACACTGTTTGGTCAGCCAGGAAAGGGCAGCAAATGATCATGACCGCTCTCGTCCTGTTGTGTGGTGGTTGTCGACTCTCTGCGATAGATGGTGAAGCACATTTACTTAAAAAAAAAAAAAAGTGATAATTTAATCCAAGATGCTGTTAATATTCATAATGGTAAAACTTGTTTAATTCTTTGGTGGAAGATGATGTAACACAATGAATGACTATTTCTTTTTGCAAATTCTCACGTCACTCAAGGGGCCGCCACCTGAGCGTGATTTGAGCCTTCTTCAGGTTGTAAGGAGGCCCAGCTGGCCCCAGGTGTGGTTCTGCTTTAATGGCATTCCTTTTTATACCACAGAGAGCACAGCAAGAGGCTTCTTCGGCAACTTGATGTGCTTCCACTGTGTTCTGGCACGGAAATCACTCACGCTGGGGTCGTTTGTCACTACGGGTGAAGTCAGGGTGTTGTAGATGCAGGGGGTAGGTCAGGGCACATGCTTTGGGGTTGGATGCTTGGGGGTCCGACACCGTCTCCAGCACTCGCACAGGCTGTGGATGTTGGGGCAAGTCACTCGTCCTTTCTGAGACTTGGTAGCCTCTTGTATGAAATATCTATTAAAAAGCATATATCTGTCTTCTACGCACACGTGTGTATACACACAGATATGCATCGACACACGCGAGTGTATTCTATACACATGTACAGACGAGTGTGTACACTAATTTTACATGCCTGCAGACACAATGCACATGTGTGCACACGTGTATATGTAGACAGATCCCCTCGGGTTATTGGGAGGATAAGATGGAATGTTCTATGGCAAGGACTGGAACTGGGCTCAGTGTTGTGTTGTTGAGCGTGTGCCGGCTGCTGCATGTCACCTGGTACCTCTTCGCACACGTTTCTCTCCTTCTGAGTAGAGCACAAAGGTGTGCTCTTCCTGTTTCCCTACAGAATTGCTGTCAGCTTGGTCGTGCTCCCAGTACTGTCTCAGGGCAGGGGAAACTGGGTAGCAGAAGTCATTACGATGAGGTCAAGAGGGAGTGAGGCTGACGTGGGGACAGGGTGCTGGGGGCAGCCTTGCGGTGTAGCAGGTAAGACCAGGAACCAGACTGTGGGTTTTCCCCCTGGCTCTCCTGGTGTGCCGTGCACCTGACTTCAGGAGGAGCCATGTACTTGCCCCGTGCCTCAGTGTACCCGTTCTCTGGAGAGTGAGGTGAGAAAATGTGCATAAATGTCCCAGAACAGTGCTTCACGTGGAGTAGGTGTTGAATGCCACCTGACTGTTGTAATTAGTTATTCTATGTTTGGGGACTTGATGCTCTGCATTGAGAGACTTTGAAACAGAGGCTGACAGCTGACACAGAAGAGGAAGTTGTAAAATAGCATTTCAGTGTTGGGACTGCCTGTTTTGCCCATACTCGGTTTCCTTGCCCGTTGCGTGTGTCAGAGGAACTCAGGTCCAGCTCAGGCATCTACTCGCCTCTGGACACCAGCGCTTGGCCGCCTAGCCGCGTCCCTGGTCCTTGTGGTCAGTAGGGCCCATCAGAGACGTGTCATAAGATCTTAAGCCCAATTTCATATGCTTTCAGTTATCTTGATAAACTGGCATTTAAAGAAGCTTCTCTTTTCAACTTTCTACGGTTGTGAACCTTCCTTCAGGGAGGCTTATATCTCCAGTGTTGACACTTGAGAAGGTGTGTTGGGGAAAAGGGGTGACGATATCTGTTTTCATCCTGTGGTCCAGGCCCCCGTGTCCTATTCTTATACCACCTCCACGAGGGGGAGTGTTTCCTCCACAGGGCGGATCAGGAGCCTTCAGTGCAGAGTCATTGGGTAGCTGGCCCCCGGTTGGCCCGTTGATCAGGGCAGACAGTCCTGAACGTCTGCCACACCTTCTGGCGGGTGTCCTGGACACTTGCACACCTTTGGGAGGAATGTGGTGCAGGTAGGCTTTGTGCCACAAGAGCAGGGGCTGTGTGGATACTTGATGTGCTCTGGCTTGTGCTGCACTAATGACACGTCCCTGGAAGTTCCCACAAGAGCAGAGTGGGAATAAGGGAGCATGACTCTGTTCACCTTATAAACACAGGGTGCTATACTGATTGTCATCAACACTCAACGTTTTCTTAGAAGTTGTTAAAGTTTGATTTCAGTCTTTTCCCTCCCTGATATTTGCAGAGAGACACTTTTAAAGGTGAAAATGTGCTGTTGTGGCCCTGAAGCTCGCTGACACAGGCTAGAGGGGCCCTTCTCTGCGTGCCAGGCATTGGGATTTCAGACATGAGTAAGACCCCCTGTCTGCTTTCAAGGTGCCCTGTTTCGTGGGGGGATAGACAAGAGGATAGTAATAGCAATAGGGCAATGAGGGAGGGTAAGTGAGGCCAACACAAAGTGCCCTTGCCCTCCCACAACCGCCTGGAGAGGTCCTGGTCGGGGTAAGGAGGGCTGCCTGGAGGAGGGGTTCTGCGCTCGATGAGTAGGATTTGGCCAAGGGAGAGGCAAGGAGGGGCGCTCCCGGCAGATGAGGCAGGCACACCGAGGGGAAGCTTTTGTATTTACCCCAGAATACTGAAAGCATTTTCCATGAAACACGCAGACTGTACTGCCAGTGTAGCAAGATGGCATCGTTTATGAAAACAGGTTCCAGTATTTCAAGTTTAGACAACATTTATATTTTGAGCCTGTAAATTATTTCTGGAATAAAGTCACAGTTACCGGGGAAATGTTGACCTGGTGAGGAGATCTTCTGTGAGCTAGCATTTCTTATTTTTTTTTAAGATTTTGTTTATTTATTCATGAGAGAGAGAGAGAGAGAGAGAGACAGGAAGAGGGAGAAGCAGGCTCCCTGCAGGGAGCCCGACGTAGGACTCGATTCCAGGACTCCAGGATCATGCTCTGGGCTGAAGGCAGGCGCTAACCTGCTGAGCCACCCGGGAATCCCCATGTTTCTTATTTTCCCTCCCCGAGCCCCTGGCACCCACTAATCTGTTTTCTAGTTCAATGGATTGGCCTGGCTGGGGATTTTGTGGAAAGGGAATCATGTGATTTATGTGTAACGGCAGAGTGAGTATATACCCTGCTTCCTCAGGGTCGCGGTGAGGGTCCCGTGAGATAGCACGAATGAGCTTCATGAAGTAAAGGTGCTGAGCTGAGGACTCTGGTGAGGGAAGGGTTTCCCTTGCTTGGGAGAGCGGGTGCTGTTGTGACCTCGCAACAGGGTCAGCCTGGGGCTTGATTCCCTTAGCTGTGACCCAGAGAGATGGGCCGGGTGTGTTAAAAGTCTGGTTGGACTCTGAGTCAACACTTGCCTGATTTCAACTCAGATTCTCATGCAGGGCAAAAACTAAGGAAATTTTAAGTTGAACCCCTGCCCTGCCCCACATGGGCCTCCATCCAGGTCCGTTTTGGCTGCTCTAGGACCCTGGGATAATTTGGCCAAGTTCCTATTTCTGTGACTCCTAACCATTTCTTCCCTAATGATGCACCCAGTGATCGGAAGGCGTGAGTACATTTACTATGGTCTCCCTCGCCACATCCTCACAGGAGGAACCAGGTGGTGGGACTTACAGTCAAAGCTGTATTAGCATCAAGGAAATGTGGAGAACCAGCCAAGGGTGGTAGTTAAGGATGTTGCTGGAGCAAGCCCACTTTTTAAAGCACTGTGCAGAGTTTGTGCAGGGGAGGCTGGAGGGAACATGTGTGGTGCCAGGGGCTTTGGGATCTAGGGTCCTGTAGCTTAGATCCCATATTCACCTCCGTGATCTTGGTCATTTGCTGAGCCTCTGTATTCTCATTTGTAACCTGAGAATTTGGTACCATCTCTAACCTCTCAAGGTCGTGGTGTATAGACTAGAAAATGTGTGGCACACCTGGATCAGTTTTTGCAGTCCCTGGGTCATGGTCCGTGAAACGGTTTAGTGGGTCACAACCAGTAAGTATATCTTAAAAACGAAATGCCATAGAATAAAATAGAAATAACTAGCATTAGGCACCCCTACCCGAGGTTAAGTATTGTTTTCTGAGACCTTTGTTTCTATTCTTCAAGATTTATTTATTTAAATTTTTTTTTTTTAAGATTTATTTATTTTAGAGCAAGAGCGGGGGGCGGGGCAGCGTGGCGGTGGCAAAGGGAGGCAAAATCTCTAACCTCTCAAGGTCGTGGTGTATAGACTAGAAAATGTGTGGCACACCTGGATCAGTTTTTGCAGTCCCTGGGTCATGGTCCGTGAAACGGTTTAGTGGGTCACAACCAGTAAGTATATCTTAAAAACGAAATGCCATAGAATAAAATAGAAATAACTAGCATTAGGCACCCCTACCCGAGGTTAAGTATTGTTTTCTGAGACCTTTGTTTCTATTCTTCAAGATTTATTTATTTAAATTTTTTTTTTTTTAAGATTTATTTATTTTAGAGCAAGAGCGGGGGGCGGGGCAGCGTGGCGGTGGCAAAGGGAGAGAGAATCTCAAGTAAACTCCACGATTCGCTCAGAGCCCAATGTGGGGCTCAATCTCACGGCCCTGAGATCACCGACTGAGCCACCGAGGTGCCCCATTTCCATGTTTCAGTAGGTTTCTTTATCAGTGTGTGTCCTTGGGTGTCCCAGATGGTAGTGTCAGATGGGTGACCTCCT